GGTACGATCAATGGATTTTGCAACAAATCACTGAAATATATACATATATCACAGAATAAATATTACATAAGAAATCATAATGTGAAATAATTGCATATATAAATTATCATCTTACTTGTACACCATTCCATGAGAAACAATGAGACCTTTATCATCAGCGCCAGATGCAAAAAGAGGATATCGTTTGTGAAATGCAACACCTCGTACACCTGTACCGTGTAAACGTAACGTTTGATAAGGCTTTGTGCTTAAATCAAGATCGAACCAAAGCATTTTACGATCGTAAGTGCCTACTAAAACATTATCACCTCCTACAAAAATATGAACACAATTATTTAATGCAATTATAGTATTACAAACAGATAAATTGATAAAATATTTAATCACCAGGATGTATTGCCATTGATGATATCCATTGTGAATTTGATAATAATTTTTTAATCATTTCCTGTTTTACCAAATCGTATATTCGTACGTTTCGTTGAGTCTGTAATTATTTGAATGCAATTATTAAAGTAAAATTTGACTATGATTTATTGAAAATTCTTTACTTACCGCTACGAACAAATAAGGTCTGATTGGATGGAATAACACACACTGTATTAAACCTTTCGACCTGTTAAAAGGTAACTGAGATCTCCGTTTCGATAACTGATTTATTAGAACAGATCTATTTTGACCATCTGGCATAACAGTAGCGAAATAATCACCTTTACCGTGCCATGTTACTTGCTTCACTGTTTTAAAATGATTTAGAATTACCCTAATGCCTTGAGACCAATGTTCACCTTCAGCTTGTTCCCACTGAACAGCAGTTTTCACTCTGTCACTTACTAGCATAAAAACATATACGTGATTATTTCAATTTTATTACATTTTTATACTATTTCAAAATTCTAAAAATACAATTAGATGTTATGTAGTAGGTACCTATAACATCACTTTGAGGTATTATTTGCAACAACTGATCTGTTTTGCTAGTAATCAAGCTATCTCCAACCCCAGGATTTATTAAAAGAACTTTTTTGTCTGCAGCCACTGCTATAAGTGATAGAGATTGATTTGGACACCATGCTACAGATCTGATTATTCCACCACACGGGACCGTTTTTACGCATCTTCCTGTTGCTATTTCCCATACTATAAAATAGTTAATTATATAAATTCATATATTGCTGGAAATTCATACATCTCCTTTCACAACATAAATAACTTTTATACTTACTTTTCAAATCCATATCATCTCCACCAGAAGCAACATATTGTCCCATCGGTTCAGCGGTAATACTCCTTACCATATCTGCATGACCTTTAAATACCATAGACATTGTTGTAGGAAATGGTTGGAGATCTTTCGGACTAGGTAACTGAGGTACTAAAGCTTCAGGTTCTATTGTTAATCTCATTTTTAAAGCTCTAGGGCACAGATACAGATCCAAACACCTCTGGAATCTTTCTTTAATATATTTAGGATAGGCGGGAACTTCACGAAGTGAATTATACTTTTGCGGAATAAAATGTAATTTTCGTTTCCATGGCGTTGCCTGTAATTTATCCCATTCTTTCAATTCCTTTTTATCAAATAGATACTCTGGCGGAGGATTATAACTTTCTGCGTGTCCAGGTAAATGTCTTTTGGGTGGTGGAATATGTTTATGAATACGGCGCATTTCTTCCGATTGATCGTCTGATTGCCATAACATATAAAACTGTGGCTCACTGTTTTTCTGTTGCCTTTCTTTTTCTAGCTCAGCAGTAGATTTCATCCAACCCATTTTAAGCGCATGAACTAATTTTGATACTTTTCTAGCTTCTGGTTTAGACGGTAAAAACGAACGTTTATGTTCCGGAAATTTGCGTACTGGTGTTTTCATTACCTCTGAAGTAAACCACTCGATCCATGGCTATAATTAAGAAAAGAAGAATAAAAAACTGTCCGATTCTTATTAAGTTATAAAGTATTATAAGAACAACTTACAGCATACTCATCAAAAGTTATCTCAGGAATTTTCTGTTTTTGTATCCTGGTTATTAATTCTATGTCTGCTTCACTTAATACAACATCTTGACCAGTTTGAAGATCCTTTATTGTTCTCCAAAAATCTGGATCTTCCATTCGTTTTAAAAAGTTATCTAACTGATCCCCTTTTTGAGGTTTTATAATTTTTTTACCATCCCAGTCATAACCAATGTGATCATAAGTATCATACCATTTCATTGGTATATTTCCAACTGTGTTACGTACATCTTCTTCATCAGAACTATCATATTCATATTCATCTACTGGTTGATTTACTACAGATACATTATCTACATTTTCACTACTTGTATTAAGTGCAACACCTTTCTTAGTAGTTGTTTTAATCGATTTTTCTGATATATTTTGTTTTAAAGTAGTTTCCCTATTTTTATTTAAACTTAAATTTTTCTTATTTTGTATTTTACTGCTTTGTGCAAGTTTAGGAATATTTGATTTATTGGACTCATTTTTATTTCTTTTTTTAGTTTCTGATGCAACAGATACATTTTTATTATCTATTTCAGATATAGATTTTTGTACCTCTTTTTTAGACTTCAATTGTTGTGATTTTGCAGCAAGATTTTCATTTTTCTTTCCTACATTTTTAATTACATTATTTTGATCAGCAGAACTATCTTCAGAATCATCTTCAGAATAACTTTCGTCTAAACCTAAATCATCAGAATCTGATTCAAAACTTAATTCATCTTCATCGTCAGATTCAAAAACAATTGGATCTTTTTCAGTATCAGATTCAGGAACATCTTCATTTTCATCTATTTCTTCATCTGTACTTTCATCATTATTATTTACCTCAGCTAACAGTAAATCTTCAGTACCCGAATCCTAAACAATTTTTATTAATGTTATTTGAAAAATTGTAGTAAGCACTTATTACTCTATAGGTTAGAATACAAAAATAAAATAACATTTTACCGATTCTTCTTCATGTTCAGATTTCATCGAATTCTTTTCTTTTTCCTCAACATTATCCTCAACTTTTAAACTGTTTAACTTTCTCTTTGTTACTCTTTTTCCAGCTTTCATTTTGTTTAAATTTTAAATACATATATATATATATATACAAATAAAATAAGGTTATGTACCTCTCACATGTCGAAATGACTACAGATCCAACAAGAATGGACTGGTATTGAATGGGTCTCGAGAACGAGCGCCATCTTGTTACGTTAACAGTAACGGTGTAAAACTCAATTCAAATTATAACACCAATTTGGATATGTTATATAAATAAAATATTTCATGTATATACATTTTTCTGTACAAAATATTATTAAGATTCATACACTATACTTTAAATTTGCTATATCACTATATTATATTTTGTTTGTTGAGCAGTATTAGGAGGTGTGGTAGTTGGATGAATATGAACAGGCAAATCCCAAATCATTGTTTCAACATCTAACGTCAATGGACCCTGCCAATTCATAGTATTTTTGTTGGGCGTTTCTATCAGTTTAGATGTTGTAACAAATTCAAAGTGTAGTCTCCATTTTAGAGTCATCAAGTCAGTGGTAAAATCTGGAGTTACATGTAATGGTATGGGTAGTACCAAGTGAGAGTACTTTAAACCCATACACATTTCATGATGCTTATTGTAACTAACTAAAGTAGGAGCTGTGTTCTTTCCTCGTCTGTAGTCCTCTGAGATATGTTCTTCTGACTGTAATGCAACAGATACTTGTGCACAAGAAACAGTAGCATTTGAGAAATCAAATGTTCCAACTATGTCCTCCCCAAGTTTGTAAGAATTTTTAAAAAGGCAGAATCTTACAACGCGTCCTCGTCCGTTAGTAATATTATAAAAATTCGGACTACGTCTTGCAGTTAAATTCTAAATAAAATCAAATAGTAATTAATCTTACTTTCATAAAAATACATAAATCTTTTGACAGATTTAACAAACCTGAAGAGTTTGCAATGCAACATCTAAAGAAGTTTCCCTGTGTTGTGTTTCCATGAATGGATTATTGGGACTTAAATCAACACTATCATTACAAGCAGTCACCTCAGGTAGCTCTGTTGAAATTGTAATGGTTAAATGATATGTAACATGTTTTTTCAAAACAAATGTATCGATCTTACCACTTAAAGAAAGTACTCTAAATGGAACTCTTAGCAATTTTATAGCTGTATTTACTCTTTGTGTTCCGACTGTGATTTTATAGGAATACTTCACTGCATGCCCTCTATAAGATGGAGGTGCATCACTTGGAATTATTTCTCTATAGATATCTACAAAATTTAAATATATAATCCCATGTTCTTAATAAGTACTACATATTTATTTTAAGGACTCACATGTTTTACTTTCACCAGGAGACAATCTCAAATCACAGAACAAAATTTTGGGTTTGGTATTTAATACAACATGGCCATTATCTTGTTGCCATGGTGCAAATGTTGTATCTGTAAAATACTTATTATAAACAATAAACTGAGAAATTTTATTAATTTCATTAACTTACTTGCATTAATAGCTACTAATCGGGCTGTAGTATTCAATTTTTCTGAGACCACAAGTTTACTATTTGTTGAACATTGGCAATGAACTTGAGCACTAGCCCATGCAAGACTCTCAAAGATATCACTAAAATTATTTATAATTCATATGTAGAAATTTGATTTAAATTTTATGAAAAATAAATTAATGATATTACCTATTACTTTGAGATATTTGATGAATTGGATTTGGTGGGTTACTGAATGTAACTAAACATTCTATAACTTCTCCAGAAAAATATACAGGTCCCCTAATTAATTTTGCCGTTATTTCAATCATGATGATTATTATTATTATTATAACTAACAAGTAACTTGTCAGATGTCAAACCATATGGGGTTACGGCCACAGTGGCACAGTCGAGTTGTGCGAAATGATACTATTCTCTCGTGAAATTTAATTATTTATTATTTTGACACATTATAAAATTGAGTGATAGATGATTTATAAAAAGAAATTTTAGTTACAGAGATATATCACCCTGTCAAAATGTATGTTTACGATTAAAGGGGTGAAACAACCTATCGAAACATACTCAATCTTTATAACCTTTAAAAACAGTAGCATAATGATAAAAATAAATACATGTGAAATTGTTAATCAGGTTGATAATAAATGTTTAACACTTTACGTAGAATGGTTAAATTCACATTTTAAAGTAATATTGTTAGAGCCAACGATGCCACCGCTAAGTGGTGAGGTTTGTATACATCTAGTTTAATTTGAATTTTGCATTTTTGATAATTTGGAAATCTTTTTAATAAAATACAGTTTGATATTGCAGATGGTTGCCGAAGATATTGATTACTTTTGCAAGGAATTAGATAAATCATCTGATGAATATCTACAAGAAACAAAAAATATATTCTCTGGCAAAGATGAAGAAATTCAATTTTATATTCAAGATGACATACTCAGATGGGAAAGAAAGAAAACATGGACTCTTGGAAAAATTACTTTGTGCCCTGTTTTAGATATCAAAGTTTTTTCTGAAGCTTTTCAACAGTTATTAAAATTGTATCAAAGTATTCAAGATAAAATAGGCACATTAGAAAGGGAAAACAAAAATCTAAGAGATACAAATGCAGACTTACTTTCCAAGATTAACAAAATGGTAGAAAGTAAAGCTACTATGGAGCAGGATCTTTATAAGAAATTTATATTGATCTTAAATTCAAAGAAAAAAAGGATAAGGGAACTAGAGGCTGCAATAAAAGAGAAACAAAATACTGCAGAATCAGTTTTTGATGCACATACAGATGAAGGCGAAGAATCGGAGGACGACGATCAGAAACCTGATGATAATCGTATTAAAATTAAAAAACGAAAATCTCTTGATAATGACAATCCTGAAAGTATTCAGAAAGCTAGGAAAAAAAATTCTATTGTAAATAAGAATCACATTGATAATAATGAAACAATTAATAAAACATCTGTTAATAAAGTTTGTACAATGTATAAAGCACATTCTATAAATTATTCTACAGCATCAAAAAATGAGAACATTCTTGAAGAACCAGGATGTAGCTCTACAACCAAATCATCAAGAAGTAGTTTAAATTTTGTTGAAGAAGAATCTGGGGACGAATTATTTTCGTAATGACGGAAAATTATTCTTTATTATTTATTATGAAAATTGTGCAATTATAATCAAAATTTACGTACGTTTTAAACGTAGCCAAAGTTTTTGAAAATAATTTATTGATTTATATTATTAATTGTATAAAATATGTTGTAAGATAAGGCAATTTTATATAATAGCAATAGCTTTAAATTCGGAAGATAAATGCTATTATGTAATGTAATTGTTACAAAAATAAGTTCAATTTTGTACATAAATATAATAATTGTATAAAAATAGAATTATTTTCTATGTTAAAATGACTTTTAAATTAATTACAGCATTCATTGTAACGCTTGGAATTTTTTTCCAGTATAGTTTATAATTAAATTTTGATTTTATTTCCTGAGATTATATTTGAACATCAGACCTCGGATATATTAAAATATTATATACATAAATTACCTAAATATATATATAAAAATACTATGACAAATCTTGAAAGAGAATCTTATAAATCTGGACGAAGTTGAAACTTGTCTTTTAATTATTCTAGCGTAAAAATGATTAATGTCGTGATTCGTAAGGAAATTGTCGGTCGTCTTGTTCTGTTGGTACTCGAGGATGAATAGGCGGAGGTAACGTAGCTGAAGTAGGATTAACAAAAGGTGTATGATAGTCATAACGATAATAAGCAAACGATTCCCATCGTGGAGGATGCTGTACATCAAAGGATGTACTGGAAGTAACCGACGTGTTGGTAGGATAATATCCTCTTTCAGGTACATTTGGAACGTAACTATATTGTGGTTCTAAAAGGCTTTGTAAATGACGTATATATGTTATCGCGTGCCTTAGTGACTCAATTTTTGAAAGTTTCTTCCCGGGTGGTTTGCAAATCGGTAATTTTGAGCGTAAAAGTTCGAAAGCACGATTCATATCACGCATTCTTGTTCGTTCACGATCGCAGGCTGACTTTTTGTAATCTGAAAATGTTTAATAATACTTTACTTTAATATCGTGCCTTTTCCTTTTTGTCATTGAACATTTATTATCAAAAAATCATGACAAATTGAAATATTAAAGTAGGTAATCGATAGTCTCGCGCCAATCGATAGAAGCGCGGGAAGAGATTTAAATTTAAAACACTAATTCTTGTGTTACCTTTCTCAGTTTGTGATGGTTCTCTTTGTACAGATTTAATGTTAGTTTCATGAAGAATTTCCAAATGTGGATGAGTATTAATTACTTCTGGTTCGGGTACTCTTATTACAAACACCCGATCACTATTTTGATGGCGATCTTCAAAGTTTCCATCTTGCCATGATTTCCTTCCTGATTGTCGACGGGGTACGCTTGAATTTTCTTCAAATAAATTTAATTTATAACATTTTTCAAAGAGCAATCGAATTCTATACAATATTTGTCAATAAATATACCTGATCTTTTTTTTATCAACTGATCCTGCAAATATTGTCCGACAGGGGGTAACTTTGTTGTCGAATTTTCCCCTTGTTTCAATATTTCTTGTTGTTGTTTGGAGTTTTTGTCTAGATCCAATAATATTGGCGAGTGAGTACAATCCTCGTTATTGCTATCATTTTCGGACTAAAAAGGCATTACCTTATGTTAATTATTTTCTACGCAATAATTAGTATCTCGCTTCTTAATTATAGTTAAAAACTATTATAATATATCATGTTAAGCTGTGTAATTTGAAAATTAATAATTACTGCAATGTCCTCCAATGTCTTGACAATTATATTTAAATACAGAATATAATTTTTTCTTTGTTCTTTCTAGACAAGGGGGTTGAAAGCTGTTACCTCGTTTCTTGACAATTCGTTAGTGTATTCTTCCGAATCCATGCCACAAAATCGATCACTGGTGAATCCTTGCTTTTTTTCTCCCGAATACTTTGTCTAAGAAGAAGCTAAGGGCACTGTCGATCCACCTTCTTCGAGAAACTTTCCTAAGGTATATATCACATGCGACTGTCGAACACGTTTGTCGTCGGATAAGATGTGGATCGGTCACAGACAGTCGTTATTAATGTTAATTTTATCCATTTATTAAGTATTCAGGTGTTCAAACAGAGGTTCCCAATTCACGGAGATAAACATCTCCGTCTAAGCGACTTTAAGTCAACAGGGATGAGCCATAATCCTCCGCCAAGAATACTTCAAATCAATTTCTATAGTCATACAATTTTAATAATAACATTTTTTAACTTTATTCTTTGTCTTTCAAATGTACCATTGAATTTCGTCATAATTTGAGCATCTGAAATGATTAACAGCCGAAGTGCAACAGTGTATTCGGGAGTTAAAGGGGTATGCCTAACTAAAAAGTTAAAAATTGTTGAAGTAAAGCACGTATGATGTATTAAAATAAACACACACTTCTGTAGGGATTAAAAAATGTACATATCATCCCCCTATGGATACGTAAATTTTCACTTTTCAGTTAATCTTTAGAAGCATAAGTCTCCATCGTGGGGGGCATCGTATCAGCTAATTGAGAACCACTGGGATGATCGGAATAAAAGTGGGAATACAAACATCGTAACATAATAGACGCCCGTCCGATGGAAATACTAATGAGACGAACCGTGCAAGTATAACGGATTGCAAAGAATAGCGATCGCTTTTTAAGATGCAGCGGAAAGTGTTTGACTTCGGATGAAAATTGAACATCCGTTTTCGTGAAAAGGACTAATAAGATCATTGACGTAACTAGATAGGGATTAGAATGAACTCCTTTCGCTGGAAATTATTAAAACAAGTGGGAAAACATTCTTCGGTTAACAGAAATGAATATTTAAGTAAAAAGGCTGTATGCAACACAATTATACACAATATTTTTAGTTGCTGTCCCCTTTATGACTTTTTACTGTCTATTTAGTATTATAAGTGATATTCATAGTGTTATACATAAGTATCGTAAATAACATTTATAGTGCATAAATATCGAGGGGTGAGTCGATCGCTGTGTGCCGTAACATTCAATTGTTGACAATCGGTCATGCGATGTCGCATGATAATTAATATCATTAAATATGTTTGCCTTCAAAAGTAATTTATCGTTAAACTTATTTTCTTATTCTTAGCATAGTCTTGTTATGTATTTTGAATTATGTCAAAGTTTCACCGCCATCTTATGACGTCTTCCGGAAACCACTAGGGAACCAGCCGAGTGAGCATGCTCAGAATATGTTTTGTATTTACATTATATAGAAAGGCTATATAGGAAAAAAGTAAGTACGTTGTAGAATGATAGCTGAAAATCGTGGTAATTTCAGCAATAATTCGTTACAATAACATTTAAAATACGACAAGAATCAAGTTAAATATCGCAATAATTCGTACTTAATAGTACCAAGAAACAACCGGCATGGAAGCGGATACAACTCGACAAGATATGCAAGCAGATATGCGGGCAAAATTTAAAGAGGTTCGTAAGCTTTTGGACGATCATGAAAAATTTACTAATGAAAGGGAACCGTATAAAATAAAGTATCAAGCTATTGAAGTTTTGATGGGAATGGAAACGGATCTCACTAATGCTTTAACAAATGTGCCAGAAGAACAACTAAGTATAGAGGTAATAATGCTTGCAGTGGTACATTTAAATCTTGGTATACTACACACTGACACGGAAGAATTAAAGGCAGGTGAAGAACAATTTATGAAATGTATAAAATTATTGAAAAACAAAGAGTTGGAACCGGAAGCAATTTTACCTGTATTAAGTGCTCTTAATCAGTTAGGCATTATATGGTCTCAATGGAATCAACCTGAAAAGGCAAAAAGCTTCTTAGATCAAGCTGAACAGATTTACAATGATTTCAAAAATATGAATCGTCAGTGTAGAGATCCGGTTAACATGGCACAAAATTTTGGCATTGAAGAAGTGAAAAATGAATTAAGTACTAAAGAAGTACTTGAAAAAATTCATACTTTAACATTATATTATTTAGCTCAGATATATAGTTCTTTAAAAGACCATTACAAGTCTGCTATATATTGTCACATGACTTTACGTAGACAATTAGGTCATAAGAATATAGCACAAGACTTAGATTACATTGATTGGGCTTTAAATACAGCTACATTGTCACAGTATTTTATGGAAAACAATACATTTTCTCAAGCAAGGCATCATTTAGCAGCTGCATCTTATGTACTTGAAAAATATGAAAATATACTGAAAAAGAAACTTGAAGATAACAAAGAGAGCGAAGCGGTTGCGGCGGAATGGGAGACTTTTAAACATAGAAGCGCAGACGTTGCTAGATGTTGGGCGAAGTATGGAATTTTACTTATGTGCTTATCAAAACAAAGACTTCTACAGGAAACTGAAACGGAAAAAAAAGATCAGTCCGATAATAAGGATTCCTCGAAATTAAAAATAATCGACGATTTAAAGTTTGATGTTTTAGAAAAGGACATAGAGCCGATCGCGAATCAAATTACTGATAAATATTTATTAACTTTTGATGACGCAAGATTAGTATTTTTAAATGTTCAAAAGTGGTTAGAGCAAGCAAAGTCATATTACACCTTAGAAAATCATGCTTCTGATCATATACAAATTATACAAGACATTTCTCAGGCATACAGATATCTAGCATTTTTCGAAGAACAAGAAGATAGACAAGCAAAGATGCATAAAAGGAGAATAGACATTCTGGAAAACGTTATCAAGGAATTAAATCCTCAATATTACAAAAGTGCATGTAGACAAATTTGGATCGAGCTAGGGGAAGCTTATTCAGAGATTCTGGATATAAAACTTGATCGTCTAAGAGCTTCTAATGAAAATCCGGCACCGCAGGCATTGACAAAAATTAATAATTTAGCAAAAAATGCTATAAAGAATTTTGAAAACTTTTTCGATTCCATAGAAAATCGCAATTCTGATTCTGGAATGAAACCGTTTCCTGACGATATAATGCAACCGGCATTGATCGCTTACTTTCATCTTGGTAGATTGTACAATAAGATAATAACACCTGATAAAGCGATTCAGTTAGAAAATACTCAAAACAGTCTAAACGCATATAAATTTGTAGTCGATTACTGTGAGAAATATCCTAAAGCAGCAGAGTTAATGCATGTTGAATTAAATCTTTGCAAAGAGTTAGTGAACTTGTTACCAATGAAAATAAGCAGGTTACAAGAAACAAGCAGGCTACAATGAATTAATAGAATTATAAAATTCCTTTCGAGTATAAATTTGATGGCGCGTGCATTTTCGAAGATACTCATTTTTCATAACAATTAATTATTTCTATTTAATTTTGAACAATTTTATATTTCTTCGTTCATTAATGATACGATTTAATATCTATTATGTATTATAAAAAATATAATGTACATTGTATTTTATTTTATTTCAAACTGAAGTTTGTATTATATTTTTTTAATAATAAATAAAAAAATGTATTACTTAATTTAGCTGATGTTGCTTCTGAATTCCTTAATTAAAAAAAATTAAGGCAACAGGTATGTATTAAATGCTACTATCATAAGATAATTTTGTATTTATTTCATACAACAAAAAATCACTTCTTTTCCACTTTTTTGTTTGCTCCTGTAGTTTTTACTTTCTTAACCTTCTTTTTTAATCTATAGAATGCGTCCGTTCGTAATTTATTTCGAATTTGTCTTGCTTTTCTTAACTTAAAGCGGTCAAAATCACTCAATTCCAGACGCTAAAATTGAATAAAACGTACGTGTTATTTGTTACTTATAAAATAAATATTACGAAAAATGAAAAAAATACAAGATTAATATTCACCTTCTTCTTAGCTTCAACTTTTCTTGCCCACATAGTTTCTTTCCAGAGGTCATTGATTTTTGCAGCATCCCAAGCTTTACGCACAACGCGAGTAGATCCAGTAAATGGGAAATTTAATCGGAATTTAGTTAGATGCAGCTGATTTAACCTCATCTCACAACGTGGAACACTTGTGGAGGGACCATCAACCAAAACCTACAAATGATGTATTAACTTATTACAATGTTTACTATATATCCGCTACAAAATAGTTTTAAATTTTGATATCAGCTGAAAATATTGGCATCAGTTAAACATCAGCCGGCAATTCCTATCAAGATATTGGATCATCATTAAGTGAAGCGAATGAAATACAAGTATAAAAAAATGTTAATTAATGAACATTTTTATATATTTGTATAATTATCTTACCCGATTTTGATCAATGATATCTACGATTGTAACCAATTTACCCAGGTGTGGGCCATCGCTCACGTAAGCCACGCGGCCAGATTCAACGAATCTTTCGAACGGCTATAAAAGAAAAATTATTAAAATTATTAATTTAATTTATAAAATTGTAAGATTAGCGATTATTTAAAGTCATATGTACAACTGTTTACAAAGGCAAGAACTTTCCTACCATGTGGTTGAGAACTGAAGTAAGTACAAGGTTAGATTAAATATTGTTAACTTTTGAAACATTGTATAAGAGTATATAAATGAAATCAAAGTATGTAATTAATAAAAATGAATTTTCTATTGAAATAGCAAATTTTAAGTCAACGCCGTAAATTATATGCGTGTAATAACGATAAGTTCCAAACCACACTGCACTTACCATGATTTACCGGAAGCAAAAGACCTATACACTTCATAACCGGATGAAGTGCCAACAATACCAACTGTTAATAAAAATATGTTTCTAATGTAGCGATCGCTACGTGGAAACCCGTCTTATATTATTCGTTCAATGAGAGAGCATATCTGTTATGCGACGCAGTTTCATTCGTTCTGCGCATTGGCTCAAGCAAGTTCCGTCTGCGCAAGCGCCTCGTGGCACAGACAGTATATTCAGTGGTCTTATATTCAGTGACTCTTCGACTTCCCGCGTTATTATTTACTTCTATTCATGTATTTTTGTTCACCGTGTATACGATCGCGAGTGCCGGGATGTGCCACAAAGTTAAGAATAACAGTAGAGGACCTCCCTGAGCTGTGCAAAACAGGTATGTTCTCTTGTTGAACGAATAATACTCGCCTTGAGATTTACTGCGTCGACGCTACGTGATCACGCTTGTCGCGCGTTCTTTTCGATCGTCGAAAATACGAGTCATTCATTTCTCAGCTTTTATCGCGACACGATACACAATATATCTATACCTCGCTATACGGCCTTTTTTAATTATGGCACTTTTTCGATTTACGGCCCACAATGTTTCGTTATATGGCAAAAAAAATGCTGTACTTTTATTTTTATGTAAGCATTTTTATAGGAAATAGAAAGAATAAAATGCTTTATGAACTAAGAACTATATTATTTTATAAGAAATTACAACAGATCCAATTGAATTTGTATGGGTTTGTATCATAAGAATTGATACGGCTTTTCGCTTCACGGCCAAGTTTTTTGGAACGTATCTAAGCCGTAAAGCGAGGTATGGGTGGATTATCAATTAATATACTGAAGAAATTTAGCATGTAGGGTAAAATAGTATATATTTTTTGTAATAGAAGTTTTTACAATTGTAGTAGATACAAGTAAAACGTATTTAGAATCCTCTCTCGAGGACTTGGCTCAGTCATTGACGTTCGCAGCGGACCGACTGTCGATAATCTAAAAATTATTCGATCTATCGAACCGTGTACGATAGTTTTTAGTCAATCGCTCAGCGAACGTCAAAAGGTACAGACATTTCTTTTAAAGGCAATGTTCGAGACTTTGTTCGCCTTTGCAATAATAAATAGCTGAGTAAACGAACGCGAATCGTTTCTTTAAAACTATTAAGCCATTAAGTCTATCTCCCTACACGGTTAACAATAAATAAGTTCTATGTACAAGATGAATTATGTCTATCACGTTTTGAATAATGTTACATTTCTTCAGTTAGCCTACTTGGCTCCAGTTAGCCTATTTGAAAAAAGAAAGAAATTAGCGACAGTGGGTATTACATAAAACTATGAAAGGTATAATTTAAACGTACCTCGGTTTCTTTATTGTATTCTTGGTTTCATCCTCTTTATGATCTAAGAATAATGTACGATTTATCTGGAAAGAACAAATAATATTCAAATTAAACTTCACACATAATGGTTATTAAAATTAACTATGAACTTACATTATCATCTTTATTTTGACACAATTCTGGATTGCAACTGCAGTTATTACAGGAAATTTTATTTTTACGGCATAAGCAAAGATGCGAGGCACATTTTGTTTTGCAAGCACATTTTATATCTCCGTTTGATGATCGTTTCAATGCGGTGTGTTCTGTTGAAGAATTTTTTGTTGTCTTCTAAAAATGAACGAATAAAAAAAAATATTTCTCATATTTAGCTGAATATTTCGTGTTCGTTAATTTCAGTTAATTACCATAAGTTTTTGTATACGATTATAAAGCGGTGTCCGAGTCCAATCTGGATCATTTACGGGATCATCATCTTCAAGAATGCTATCATCTGTTGGAAGGTCTAAATCAACTGATTCTTTAGTTTTCTTTACGTTTTTGTCGATCTTTGGTTTAGATATTTTGTTTCCGGGTTTAATTTCATTTAAATCCTGCAAGAATTTATAAATTTATTATTTATATGATCACTGAAAATGTAGTTAATGAAATTAAGAAAGTATATTAACTCGTTTCAGTTGCTGAGTTTGATTTTTATAGTATTCCAATTCTTCTCGCAATTTGATGATTGCCACTTCCTGATTATCACTTTCTGTAGTGTCATTTGAGTTATCTGGTGTTAATCGTCTGTTTTTTTTCCTTGTTTCATATTCATCCAATTGTGCTTGTAACAATGCATTCTTCTCCTAAAGTTATATTTTAATATAACTTTATTGTTGTTAACAAATTTTTAGTGAATTAAAAAATTAAGTGTATATGTACAAACCAACAACTTGGATTCTTTTATACACTGTCTCTTTTTCTCCTCTGTAATATGTTTACATAATAATTTAAAAGCAGTGTGTCCATCTTCCATTGTTTGTATTTTTTGCCGCCTTTGATATGCTCTATTTTCTAAATAAATAAATATTTACGTACGTGTAAATATATACTTCAACACAATAATATAAGAAAACACCTACCTTGATCTGATTCAACTATTTTTTGCTGGAGATCAGCAATTTGTATATTACGTACATTTAAAAATTCTACGAGTTCAGAAATTTTTTGTTCATCTGTATCGCTACTGTTTTGAAGTTCATTTAATATTGATGTTAAATGTGCTCTATCTTCCATTAATTTTTCAAGAGAATGTTCTGCAGCAACCGTGCTTTCTAATATTTCTATTTCTTGGACCAGCCAGTTTTTAATTCTATCAGTATTATTGCTCATTTTATCTTTTCTCATTGCTGCTCTTTTTTGCAAATCAAGAGCTTCCTGAAAAACATTGATTATTGTAATTACAAGATATTGATCATATTATTTTAATAAAGGCATTATTTTTTATTTATTACCTTTAGACGTTTATTAGCTGCAAAAGCTTCTTCCATTTTTCGCTTAAAAACTGTTTCTTGTTTATTATGCCACATTTTCAAACGTGTCACTTCATTTGTTTGTTTCCTATTTTGATCTTTTAATCTGTTCAATTCTTTTTCTTTGGATTGTTTCCATTTTGTAAACTTATCGGATTCAGTACGCATCTGTCTAATTAATTTTACCCTCGTTTGTTTAAGTAACTGTGTTTCGCTCAGTAACTTTTTTATCTGTTGATCTTGTTTCTCTTTCATTTTAACTATTTTATCTTGTTCTACTACCTTCTTTCTTAATTCTGCCATTTTTTTCTCTAATTCTTGTACCTTTTTACGCCGACTTTCTGCCAGTCTACATACATAAAATACATCAAAATAGTAGATAAGAAAATTTCACTGCAAAAGATATTGTAACTAATAAAAATTAATTGCTGTACATAATGAAATTTCTTACTTTGAGCTAACTTTACTTGTATGAACATTTTGTAAAGCTTGCAAAAGTTCTTCCCTTTCTGTTTGCAAGGCTTTTATTTCTTGTTCCATTTCTTGCCTTTCTTTAGAATCGTCAATTATATAAGAAGTATCTTTTAAAAGTTGAGATATGAGAGTTTCTTTAATAGCAAGTTCTTTATTTATATTTTGTACTTCGTTATTCCTTTTAACTTGGAGCAGAGTATATCTTTCGTTTTTCGCATCGAAATCATCTAAAGTATCTGGAGTTTCGTAGTTTGTCTCATCTATGGACGTCTGTTCCGAATCTTTTTCATCACTTATCGTTTTTGCATTGGCAATTGATATTTCATGATTCATAAGTTTTTCTGATATTTTCTGCTGATCATTTTGGATATCTGCTTATTAAAAATCAACAAATATTAATAAGTTTGTTAACAAAATAAATAAAAATCATACTACTCACCAAAAATTTTTGAATAAAGAGCTTGTAGTTTCATACAATGTTCACTATGTTTATCCGGATTTTTATTTAAATCATCCAGAAGCTCTTTACATTCTTTTAATATTTCCGTCATAACGGATTGAATTTTTTCTCTAGCCTGTTCAGCTAGCTCCGCTCTTTCGTGCATAACTACAATTTCGATTAAACTTGTATTTAATTTTTCTCTTAAATTTCTTATCTTTTCTTGCAAAGACTGATTTTTCAGTTCAAGTTCTTCATATTCAATTGGAATAGAAGTCTTAATTTCTTGTCCTACTAAAGCAAGTTTCAATTCTTGCACTAATTTATTCAGTCTATTTATTTCAGCAGCTTTTGGATCTTGATTTACTACAGGTTTATTCTTTATTTTACGTGCTCTGTCCGCGTATCTTAATGTGCTTAAAGTTTCATCCAAATTATAATCTGCAAATATATCAAATAGAATATGGATTATTTTAATAATTATTATTGAAAATATAATACCATATGTATTATACAGATAACAACCTGCTGGACTGACACATGCTATCATAAGTGTCATAGAGTTACCACCAAGAGAATCTTGTAGTAATCTCGTTAGTTTGCTATCGCGATAACTAACGTGACACGTCGTACTACCCTCTCCTAATTGGGATATAACATTTCCTAATGCTAATAGACCTTTATTTATATTAACCCCTTCCTTAAATCTTTCTCCAGTTGCCTGGGTTTTTTTACTCCGTTCGGAGCCAGCTAAATCCACCAGATGAAACTTAGATGTTGTTGCTATATCAGGATTACTTTTTTTTTGTTGATGGACACATAAAGTAAATATTGCATGACTCCGACTACTGTTTGCATTCATTGCAGTAGCCCCTGTTGCGCGACCTAAAGATCCTTGTGTCAAATATTGTAATGTTTCCGCGGCATTTGTGACTTCGTTTTCTACAACTCCGGTAACCTTTATATTTTTGCCATCGTCTCTGATATCCACGATAGAGTGACTTCGTTGTTTATCAGCTAATAAGTCATATAATTGCTCTTGATAAAGTTCCATAAAAGAAACTGTAATTTTAAAATTCCACTCTTCTTTTAAGGAAACTATATCGAAGATATCGTGTACTGCTTGTGGAATAACACCTGAATTATCTGCTCCACTATAATTTGTACCCATTGAATGAGTTTTACCGCTACCTGTTTGACCATAGGCTAATATAGTGACGTTATAGCCTGTAAAAATACATACAGGATGTTCAGTAACTGATAGTACAAGCGAAGAGGGGGTGATCGTACGTGAAAAAATAAGTCGGCTGAACTTTACTTTAGCGGACATAAAATTATCCACTTTTTTCTCCTGAATCTAATAGTTTTCGATGCGTAGAATCCAAAAATGCAAGTTTTAACTGTCGGAATGCAGCGGTTTAAGTTATGAGCGTGTAAAGTTTGATACTTTTAATGCATTTGCTACGTTACTGCGACGCCGTATTGGCTTTTTGTCCAATGAACGGTGTCGCTAGCTACCGGCAGCAGGTGCCGACCATTTTTGTAGGTTTAGTCAAACCGTAAATTTGATATTGTCCGAGTTAGTTAGGTTTATATTTATCTTAGAGAAAGAAATTTTATGAGTGATTTAAATACAGCTAGTGATGGAATCCGTACCCAAAAAAATGTACTGTCCCCTAAGGTAAAGTTTAACTGAAATTGTTGTCGCATGAATGTAATCTTACCCTCGAAAATGTTTTTTACCATATCCTTAACAGCAGTATTATAAAAATCTTCTTGACCAATAGCAGGGGGAAAAACATAATTAAATGTAAAAGATTTATCTGTATTACGAATTACTATTTGAGGTTCATCAGGAACAACTTCTAGGCATGTCTGGCAGCCTCGTTCAATTTCTGTCTCTATTAAAGGACGAATGCGTACTGCTACACGAACGGTATCATCACTCATCTGCAATAAAATATTCTAAATAATATCTTCCTTTACATTAAAACTATTCTTTGAAATCACTTACCGTCATTTAGCGTAAAATAAATATTAATAACTGAATTAAATTTCCGTTTATGTAAAAAATCTTCTTCGCTGGATTCAACTGAAGACACTTGTGTGCTTGTGTACTGAGAAGTGACCGTTACGTTCAAATCAAATCAGACGCGAATGGACCTATATATATATACATAATAACCAACATGACAGCGTGAACCGAAAAATTCTTAAATTAATGTAGGAACTTTTCGCTTTGGAATGTTACCTCTTACTAGAGGTACATACATACATACTGTTTGGTACTGTTCTCATAACCTGTAACATTTAATACAAATAATGATCAGCTTGTTCCAGTGTTAAACAGTCAGTGTTTATTTAAATGTAATTCACGTAAAAGGATATGATTAACAATACCGAAATTGTGTAAATTACATAACCTTAGTGCCATTAGGCAAAAGTTACTGTAAAGATTATTATTAACATTCAATATGTATGCTGTCTTACGGAAATCTCGTACACTGAAAAATGTTATACAAAGATGTAACAGTACTACATCAACTGATACAAGTACAGTAGCATATCCACCTGTATTAGATTTAGCCTATAAAGCCAGAGTTAGAAGGAAGGATGAAATCTGGTATGAAAAAATTAAAAAGTTAGAAACAGTAGAGGAAAAGTTATATGGAATTAATATGCCACGTTATTATGGCTGGAAATCATTATGTTTAAAAGAAAGGCATGTTCTATGTAATTCATTGGATCAAGCTCAATATATTACAAGAACTCATGTTGTAAACAACCATGAATTACCTGATTTTTATAATAATGTAATCACATCTGAACAATTAGATGCTGTGATACAAATTATTAAAAACCATATAGAAAATATTCTTGGTTTTGAGTATTATAACAGACTGTAAGTATAAATGTTTTATACGAAGTTTCTTATAATACTTTATATATCATGATCCAAGAATCCATTAATATATTGCAGAAGGGAACAGGAAATAACAGAAAAAACAGCAGAAAATAAAAAGAAACTACAGGATGATCTTATAAATGGAGTTGTTTATCAAATTAATAGAATATTACTAGCTACTTTGTCTTCTAATTTACCGCATTTAATGAAAGCTCAAGTAGATTATGAACCAAGAGTAGAAGCATTTTGGTTTATAGGTGGTATAGATCCTCCAACTTTAGTTAGAAAAGCAAGAGCAAACTCAAAGCATCTGGAAGCATATGCAGATGATCCAGTTAATATGCCTGTTCAGTATTTTGGTTCACCAATTTTACAATTACGACATCAGTTTCCTTTAAAAGAAATTGTTCCATTAAATGAATGTAAAAACCCAGAGCTAAACGTTCCTGAATTTAAATTTGATCCTAGAACATTAGGACATACCTTTTCATATAAACATGCTACGTGTATACCAGGTTTTTGGCCTGGTGATCCAGATGAATTTGGTTTATTGTCTTACCACAACATTAATAATTCGACGAACTCAGAAGTTTATTATGAAGATTCATACATAGTTCAAGCTATTTTTGCATCTTATGGGTGGTTGTTGTCACAGGCTTCTTATCAAGGTATCGAAAATATTTTCACTCTTTATAAACAGGATTGCAATATCATTTTTTGTAAGAAATTTATAATCATGGAAGAGCAAAAATAATCGTATGTTTCCAATTTTAGGTTTTTCTACAGTCTATGATATAACGTATCCATTAACATCTCAAACAATTTTTACAAATGGTCAGGAATGGTCGTTTTGCGTTTATCAGTTAAATACTACATTAGTACATTCGGAACATGTAGATCAAAATCCAAAACGTAACATGTGTTGGGTAACGAAACCGATGAAATTGTTTGACACAATAGAGGAGGGAAAAGTTCATGGGTTTAATGAAGACGTTCTAAGAACGTTAATTAAATTTTACGTCAATATGCCTGAAGAAAGGTTAAATGTGGACATGAAGCCATATTTAGGAAAAACTGTAAAATATCTTGCGGATATTGAAGATCGCGATCGAAGAGTCTTCTTGGAACGAGGCTTTAAACATATCTCGTCTAACAGACCAAAACATTAGTACGTAATTAATTATGTATATAATGAAATAATTGATTGTGCTGATCAAATTTACATTTAAGATGTACGGTATACGCGTGATTAAGTGTTAATTACTTTTTTACTCTATTTTACAGCCTAATGCCAGAAATGTACGCTTGGCAGAAAATTTACATAGTTGATCATAAAACCCGTCCTATAGACAAAAAACGTGACCCATGGCAATTTGGTTACAAACCTACAAAACGTAGGTTGGATAGTCACTTACCATTATATGTACCAAAATGTTTAAGAGCGAATCCAAAGAAAAAGCGTGTAGATCGGTGGGCAAAAACGTACTATCCGGATGCATAAAACGTGCGTTTTATCCATTTGTTGTGTAAATATTTTTAATAATAACACGCTAAATGACTATTCAGATTTTTATTAATATCAATGATTTAAACAGACTCGACCATTTTCCCTTTTAATTCCTATGGGATAGTTAGTTTTTTTACAAACATTAGTAATAACTTGTTGACGAGGACACAGTAAACACATATAGGGTAAGACAAAATTATGTAACTTCTAAACAGTGTGTTATGTAATTATTATTTATTGTTGAACATAATATTATAATTTATACAGGAAATCCAATTTTTACATCCTGATATTCTGGAAAAGGAGTCCTTCCTATAGTCCATAAATTACAGTGTGCATAGAATATGCAGGTAATTCCAAACAAATGGTACCTTTCTTTAAATCCTTAAGAACAACATTTTTCGATACGGGATTTCTGTAATATAAAACGGAATATTTTCGATATTTCGGATATTTCGGATAGAGAGAGAATGTAATAAGGGAAAGTAATCGGATCTTACCTATTGTATAGCACAACAACAACTTCGTTAGAAGGTGTTACAAATGCTGCCGATTTAACGGTGGTGGTATCGGTAATAGAAATTCTGACAGACCCTCTGTCAATAAATCTACTGAAATGTGCGATAGCATAGTACATAGGTTGTTTGTAAAACTCATCGGTCTCTGGATTTACGATAATAGGTGAATCGACATTATTGTTGATGTAGTTTGGTCCACCACTCTTGTCTAGAGCCAAATTCCAGTCCACCCATCCGACTGCCCAGTTGTTTAAATACTTGGACAAAAATATGTGTTATTAGCGTATTAATAGAGATTAATGTTTCGTAATCACGAGGAAATGAAAGTATTTCTTTTACCTCCAGTATGCTCAACATATACTTTTGTCCACGTTCCCATGATCCAAGAATAACTTTTTCAGGGCTTCCACTTCCTACGCAAATATGAAATTATGTCATTATTGTGGTTCACCCGAGAGAATAAAACATTTGTTTGCCGCATTTAAGTTCACCTTCACACGCTTCGGTCATGAGGATGAACTTTTCCGGAAAGCTGTTGTGTGTTAGATCCAACAGGACCGGAGAAGCAATGAAGTCCGAGTACCAATGTACAGCTACACCAGAAACATAATCCTTCGCTTTTTCATTTTCAAACATTTGCTGAACGAACCAGGGTAACTCGATTCTTTGATCGTCTAGGGCCAGAATTTTGGTGTCGTGTTTCGATGCGGCCAGGGTAGGACCCAAATTGTTAGCGACCCAATTACCCACGGTTTTCGGTGTCCATCCCATAACGCTTAGAGGATCGAAGGGTATAATGGCGTTTATTGGTTCGTTACCCGTCGAAATGGCCCACATTTTCAAACCATTTTCCTTATATGCATCCAAAAACTTTAATATGTAATTGGCGTAGAGTTGATAGTACTCTTCCTTCAAGAAACCTAGTAGATCAGTAACAAACAGATACTTATTTTTCTATGCATCTCTGTCTTTTCTTTCCCCAATTTAATGCCATTATACACACCAAATCCATTGTATTTATCGTTAGTTTTCATCCAAATCGGAGGTGTCCACGTAGCACCGAAGAATCTCGTTTCAGGATTCAACTCCAAGGCCTTTTTCATGAAAGGTATTTTATAGTTGTAATCTTCTGGGGCAAGTGCAAAGTGTTCCAGTGTCGTGTCGTTAGGATGGTCGTCGTACGTGTAAGCGTGGGTAGAAAAGTCGGTTCCGCCAATTCCTAAACGACCGAACAGATACCTGCTTCCTTCTGTCGGATGGTAGTACGTTCTGCAAACAGCGAAACTCGGTCAAAATTTGATGCTTTAAAATTATGTCAATTTAATTACCGAATTATTTGATCTTGAGCTGCCTGGCTGAGTTTTTTTATGTTTATTCCCGCGGAATCGGTGAAGGCACCGCCAAAACCAAAGATCGTTTGATATTTCTTCGTGGTGTCTATGGTTAAGGTATCGGTGAAGAGTGTCTGATGGCAGGAACCGAATTGTCCCTCTTTCGGTTTCATCCTCAGCCCAGCTTTACTACTGACGTACGAGTAAAAGCTTTCATTTGTCTGGATTTTTGGCTCCTCTATCCTGTCGCAATAGGTCGCATTGCAAACGCATACGATCCTATCGGTACCGAAACTGCGAGGTACACACTCGGTTGTGCTACCTGTGACCAATGATATCGAAAGATGAAAAATAGAATGATAAGAAAAAGGAATTTGATTAGTATCATTTTACCTATGGCAATGAGGAACGGGGTTAAAAGCAGCACCTTCCACCACATACTGCCACTGTTCTTCTTCGCTTACTGAAATCAAACTGAAAGGCTCAAGTTAATCGATGATCGATACGAATTGCATTTATATAAAAAGAAATACAAAGCTATCTTCTTTCACTTATCAATTAATAATTGGTTTCAAGATTAATCACGATATAAATATTTATCAATTGCACCTTGTAAATACAATTGCACTACAAAAAATAAACGAAGTCATCTGATCTTTATTGTATCAGAAAAGTTCATTAAAAAAAAAAAAAAAGAAAAACGAATGCGAATTTTTTTCAAATTCAAAAATTTTCCCTCCTGCTATCGCACCGTTCGCTTTCGTTAGTCTGTTTCCGTGTTGGTTCCAACTCGAAATCAGGTGAACGTACCGTTACGAATTTGAAGAGCTAGACGAGACCCCACGGAACAGTAAAACTGTATTGTCGAGAACGTGCATCGCGACATCGGCTTTTCACTTATTCCCAGTGCGGTGTTACGTCAAGAATATCCCCGAATGTGTGTGTACTGTATACATACACTGCAATGTGTTGTGCCACACACGTTACACGTACGATCGTTCGATAGCATTTTGTTCGTAATTGTCATTTTGTTTTTTCAAATCGCGACCACGCGTTTATCTACTTTTCATTTCGTTTCTTTTATTGACATGTTAATTACCGTACTAAAAATTGTAACAACGATTTTTAGTACGATTTGCCGTTTACTGTATATCTAATAAGTATTTAAAGTGGGTAACATTATCGAGTTTCATTGAAAAAATACCTTACTCGGTAACATTTTTACGATAGAAAATTATTGAAAAAATTGAAGGACGTTGGAAAAAGTAACTCGATGATAATCATAAACGTTTTCGAATATTTATTTCTAACGAAATATCGTTGACGATGGTGAAATAAGAAGCGTCAGGAAAATAAATGTTGAACTAACATGTTCTACGTGTTCTAAAGTTGTACCATTTAAATGAAACATGAATGTTTAATTATTTATTTTCTGAAATCTCGTTAAAATCCCGTTAGCAACAGAATTCGTATTCATTTTTTAAACATTGGCTTTAGGCGAATCGAGTAATCCCGAGTTCGTCGAGTTTAGATGAGCCACAGTTAATGTAATTTACAAGTTTAATGCAATCGAAATTTACGTTAGTTTGCGGATGAAAGTAAATTACAAAAGACAAAGTTTCTATAGATACTTCCGATGCACGGCGGTATCGAATCGATTTTGACGAAGTTAATCGTTTTTGTTTCATCGGAGTGAGGTATAGATAAAAAAGGGGATGCATGGGAGTTTTGTTTCAGAAGCAATTTTAACGATTTTCATTAAATCTCGCTTTTCTACGGACAATACGCCACGCGAGTCTTTTGTCCAAGGAAATAACAATGCGGTAGACGGAATATATTTTTATTTTTAACGCACCGTATTTCGTTAAATATTAATTGCCAGACGAGCTTCATTCCTTCCACGTTTCATCCATATTATACGATTTTTTCAAAAGTTATAAATTGAATAGTCTCTCTTATGAACAATCTCATAAAGGTGGAACAATTATTCTTTTGTTCATAATACTGGTACCAGCCAGCTGCCAATAATGAAATAATGTTTTAGGAAATTGTGACAATCTTTTTTTTTTTTAAATAATAAGTACTAAAACTTGAATATGCAAAAGGTGAAGTTAATTTACCAGTTCGTGATAACAGTCACCGATGATAAATGTGGTAGCGAACGCGTTAATATGTATTACGTTGATAATATGAAAAATACCTTATGAAATTCAATCGAAAAATTGCTTCTTTGTATACTTAATTGCACATAAAATAATGTATATCATTATAATTACAGACATTCAACCTGTTAATGAAAGAATGCAGTTCGATGTTTCCGAAGACGAACAATGGTCACGAGCCACTGCAGACAACGAATGGTAAGTCGTGACAATTTACAGCTTTAGTTTATCAGAAAGAGTAGCAAAGTTAACAGTTTTATTAAGTAGCAACGTGATTTCTAAAGATTTCACAGCTTTCCTTCCCAAATGCTAATCTGTTATCAGCGAGAAAAATCCGTGAAACTCTTGGAACGCATGAGACAATATTTGTACATTTCTATAGGAAAAACATTGAAAATAAATCAATACGTTCTCTTTGCTTCTGTTCAAACAGAATCGCTTTATATCGGTCGGGATGTGAATTTTTCAATAAATATTGCGCGAACTTTGGAAGCATTTCTCTATTAGACAATAACGCCAGCGCGGTACGGTACGGTACGGTTCGAAATTGAAGAAGATAAGGTTTGTTAGGGGAAAAGACAACGAACAGGAGGATTCTTGACCATGCTAGGAGTTATTCGTCGAGTCGAACGATCGGTGATCGAGAAAAGGCAGTGTTAGGGCAGAGATGTCGATCGGCGAATCATAGATAAATCGGCGAGTAAGATCGCGGGGGCAGTTTGGTAAGGGTGGTTCGTTCTTGTTATGGAGCAACGGCGCGAACAGAGGACGAAATCCCTTGGAAATGACTTGACTCGGTAGCAGAGAAAGCAGGAGAAAGCTTTTATGCGCGCGTTAAACGGATCGTTCGGGGACACGGACAGCTCGATAAGTGGATACGATACGAAGCAGGACGATCCGTGGACTTAAATAAATCAAAGAGCCACCCCAGTTGTTCTCGGAACGCGCGATATGATCAGTAAGAAAAGACCGAATGTCCGATAGTCAAGCTGAGCACGTAAATTCCTGATTCTGTTATCTTTCAAGATTGAAAATATCATTTTCCCTGGGAAATGTCGTAAACAAATCGATAAGAAAATTGTATTCTTTTCGAGTGCCCGTTTCTATTCACGATTGATTAGATCGCATAAATTTCATATCAATTTTTGTTGACCGCGAATGATATCGCCCTTTGAAAAATTTATCAAGCAGGCGTGCAATTGGTAGAAGTTTAATTCCGTGTTAGCGGTATGATGTACGGGACAAGAACGGCGCAGTTATGCAAATCGGTGGCAAAAGTTTTTAATGAAAATTTGTAATGTTGAATTTTCTAAGAGGTCGAAACTTTCGAGGCGCGATGAAAATGTTAATCAAACGGTGCTCGCAATGTTCCGGCGTAAACGTCAGATATCTATTACGGTTCACCGTTTACATGTTTAACCGAGGCTTCCCCTTTCCATCTTCGTCGCTTTATTTCGAACGCACTCGTTCGCTCTTCATACTATTCGGGTTAACGCGTTTAACTTTAATTAAGTTTCCTAGAAACTAATCTTCTTACGATATTAATGGTATTACAGCCTCGGCATCATAGTATAATATAGTTCTTGTTCGTCCCCCCATAGCGTTTGCAAAAGAAAGGATCGATTCTTTCTGGACATGTTAATTTGTTGAGAGAGCAGAAATATTCGTATGTTTCCAATTTTAGGTTTTTCTACAGTTTATAATATATCCATTAATATCTGAAACAGTTTTAACAAATGGCCAGGAGTGATTTAAACAGACTCGATTATTTTCCCTTCTAATTCCTAGGGGATAGTTATTTTTTCTACAAATATTAGTAATAACTTATTGGCGAGAACACAGTAAACACATATAGGGTGAGACAAAGATATGCGACTTCTAAACAGTGTACTCAGCAATTATTATTTATTGTTGAACATAATATTATAATTTGTATAGGAAATCCAATTTTTACACCCTGATATTCTGGAAATGGAGTCCTTCCTATAGTCCATAAATTACAGTGTGCATAGAATTTGCAGGTAATTCCAAACAAATGGTACCTTTCTTTAAATCCTTAAGAACAACATTTTTCGATTCGGGATTTCTGTAATATAAAACGGAATATTTTCGATATTTCGGATATTTCGGATAGAGAGATAATGTAATAAGGGAAAGTAATCGGATCTTACCCGTTGTGTAGCACAACAACAACTTCGTTAGAAGGTGTTACAAATGCTGCCGATTTAACGGTGGTGGTATCGGTAATAGAAATCCTGACAGACCCTCTGTCAATAAATCTACTGAAATGTGCGATAGCATAGTACATAGGTTGTTTGTAAAACTCATCGGTCTCTGGATTTACGATAATAGGTGAATCGACATAGTTGTTGACGAAGTTTGGTCCACCATTCTTGTCTAGAGCCAAATTCCAGTCCACCCATCCAATCGCCCAATTGTTTAAATACTTGGACAAAAATATGTGTTATTAGAGTATAAATAGAGATTAATGTTTCGTAATCACGAGGAAATCAAAGTATTTCTTTTACCTCTATTATGCTCAACATATACTTTTGTCCACGTTCCCATGATCCAAGAATAACATTTTGAGGGCTTCCATTTCCTGCGCAAATATGGAACTATTGTCATTATTGTGGCTCACCGGATAGAATAAAATATTTATTTGTCGAATACATTGAAGTTCACCTTCACACGCCTCGGTCATGAGGATGAATTTATCCGGAAAGCTGTTGTGTGCTAGATCTAACACGGACGGAGGAGTAATATGGTCCGAGTACCAATGTACAGCTACACCAGAAACATAATCCTTCGCTTTTTCATTTTCAAACATTTGCGGAACGAACCAGGATAAGTCCTTTCTATTATCGTCTAGAGTCAGAATTTTGGTGTCGTGTTGCGATGCGGCCAGAGTAGGACCCAAATTATTAGCGACCCAAGTACCCACGCCTTTTGGTGTCCATCCCAAAATGCCTATAGCATCGGAGGGTAAATATTCGAATAATGGTTCGTTACCGGTCGAAATGGCCCACATTTTCAAACCATTTTCCTTATATGCATCCAAAAACTTAACTAAGTAATCGGCGTAGGATTGATAGTACTCTTCCTTCAAGAAACCTAGTAGATCAGTTACAAACAGATACTTATTTTTCTGTGCATCTATGCCTTTTCTTTCCTCAATTTAATGCCATTATACACACCATATCCATTGGTTTTATTCTTAGTTTTCATCCAACTCGGAGTTGTCCACGTAGCAGCGAAGAATTTCGTTTCAGGATTCAACTCCAAGGCCTTTTTCATGAAAGGTATTTTATATTTGTAATCTTCCGGAGCAAGTGCAAAGTGTTCCAGTGACTTGTCGTTAGGGCGGTCGTCGTACGAGTAAGAGCGGATAGAAAAGTCAGTTCCTCCAATTCCCAAACGACCAAACAGATACTTGCTTCCTTCTGTCGGGTGGTAGTACGTTCTGTACACACCGAAACTCGGTCAAAAGTTGATGCTTTAAAATTATGCAAATTTAATTACCGAATTATTTGATCTTGAGCAGCCTCGCTGAGTTTCTTGATGTTTATTCCGGCAGAATCGGTGAAGGCACCGCCAAAACCAAAGATCGTTTGATATTTCTTCGTGGTGTCTATGGTTAAGGTATCAGTGGTCTGTTGGCAGGAACCGAATTGACCCTCTTTCGGTTTCATCCTCAGCCCAGCTTTACTACTGACGTACGAGTAAAAGCTTCCAGTTGTCTGGATTTTTGGCTCCTCTATACTGTCGCAATAGGTCGCATTGCAAACGCATACGATCTTATCGGTACCGAAACTGCGAGGTACACACTCGGTTGTGCTACCTAATGATATCGTTTTGAAAGATGAAAAATAGAATAATAAGAAAAAGAAAAATTTGATTGGTATCATTTTACCTATGGCAATGAGGAACGGGGTTAAAAGCAGCACCTTCCACCACATATTGCCACTATTCTTCTACGGTTATTAAAATCAAACTGAATGGCTCGAGTTAATTGATGATCCACGCGAGTTAAATCAATATATATACCAAAATACAAGGCTATCTTTTTTCAGTAATCAATTGATAATTGGTTTCATCATTAATCACGATTACAGCTGTATATGTATTTATCAGTTGTACTGTGTAAATACAATTGCGCAAGAAGAAGTGAACGAATCGATCCGATCTATACATATATTGTATTGGATGATTTCACTTGAAAAGAAAACGAATGCGAATTTTTCTGAAATTCAAAGAATTTCGGAACAGCGAGTAAGAGAAGAATGAAAGTAAGGGAAATGGTGAATGAAAAAGGAGCAACGTGACCATTTTGTACTATTCTCGGTAGGCAGTCGAAGGGATGGGCGGCATTCGTAAGAATAAGTGGCACTTTACTCGGCCGGGCTGAAATTAAATTCAACCAAGATAAATGGAGCCGGCAAGCCCCAGCTTCGCTCCCGCCAACATGTGAAATGTAAATTAGTTTGAATTAAGGCGCGGCCCGTTGGTCAGGTTCTCCTATTAAATGTATAAATACGTGGGCACCGTTTCCAACGTCAGCGATTCGTGTCCCGTGTCGCGTTACCAGCCGCGATGCTGTTTCTAATTAAACGATACGGTCCCTTCTGACAAATCGTTCGAATTCATAGCCCTCTTCCGTTTTCGATTGTGCAAATCTTACGAAACCCCTTGAATAATCGTCCGATTGCACGGTTTTTTTTTTTATATATTAATTTTATATCCAGAACGATTTGAACTTTCATAATGTCCATATTAAGAGTGAAATAGAAAAAGAAGTATAAGTATAGAGTGTTGAAGAAGTTAATACGAGTTAAAGCTTAGGTTGGCGAGGTAATATAAACTAAAGCTCAGGTCACCTAGCTCGCTGAAAGTGTACCGTGTAATCGAGTGCTCGAGTTTAATATAAAAAAAAATTCTAGCAGGTGGATAGTACGCTCTATACTCGGCATTTTTCTCGGTACCCTAGTAGGAACTGTTCTCTTTATTAAGTAAAGTTCGGCACGCTGCGGAACTCATTATCCGTGTAACCCGTGTGGCTCAATAGAGAATTTAATTCTGAGATCGTTATCCTCGCCAATTTTGCTCGAGGACGTTGAAAAATCTCGTTGTTGCCCCGTGTCCTGGTCATTCCAAAGCGATCCTCTATCGGCACGAATTTGCATACCACCTGAAACGTA